GCCTGGCTATTTTTTTTTTGGTTGCAGCCATCATTGTTGTTTGGCGGGCCGGGCTGGATTCGAACCTGCCACCTTAGGTGTATGTGGCTGGCACCTTAGCCACTTGAGCCACAGGCGCCAAGCCTCAACCTGTTTTCTTTTGATTTCTCTTTTCTTGCTATCCTTTTATTTTAGCTTCTTTTTTTTTTTTTTTTTTTTTTGAGACAGAGTCTTATTATGTCACCCTCAGTAGAGTGCCGTGGTGTCACAGCTCACAGCAACCTCAAACTCTTGGGTTTAAGCGATTCTCTTGCTTCAGCCTCCCAAGTAGTTAGGACTACAGGTGCCTGCCACAATGCCTGGCTATTTTTTTGGTTGTAGCTGTCATTGTTGTTTGGCAGGCTGGGGCTGGATTTGAACCCGCCAGCTCTGGTGTATGTGGCTGGGGCCCTAGCTACTGAGCTACAGGCGCTGAGACTATTTTAGCCTTTCTAAGACATTGTGTTATGTATGTTAACTTTCCTTAAGGCCTCCTAGCTATTGGTACACTACCTTCCAATAGCGAATGCTGATGTAAAGGAGACTGAGTCCGTGTCGGTCCTTCTCTCCTGGCCTACATGGAGGGTTTGACCTTATTGTTTAGCATATGGCCAAAGGATTTATCTGTGAAGTCCAATATAACAAACAAGGTATATCTCAGTATTGATCACTGTGTGACAATTTTTCCTGAGACCAGGCGTTTCCTTTCAATCTTTAGATTTCTGTCTTTTCTTCTTTTTTTAGTGGAAGCATTTTGAAAATAAAGCTATAAAATTCTTCCCAGGTTCCACTTGTTTGGCTTTTATTTACTTATTTTTTTCAGAGACTCTACATATTTCACTTTTCTGCCACATCTATAATTTTTCTACTATTTTAAAATTCTTTATTCCTTTTTAGCCTGCAGGATAAAAAAAAGTGCTTTATCAATCGAAATGAAGATATTATAAAGGTGCTTTTCAGTAGAACAGGGGACTTACTTTAATGAAGCAAAATCGCACAAATTTCTCAAACTGTAATTTAGTCTCTGTGTTACAGAATGCTGTAACAGGGATGGCTGATAGCTTCTGAAAAATAAATAGGAACATATAATGAGAAAACTAATTACACTCAAATATAGAGGGTGCCAAAAAAATGCACACGCATTTTAAGAGATGTTATCTATGTACTGCTTTTGAAGTTGAATTGCAGGTGCCATGACTGGTCAAGTGTACCTAGAATATACCCAGACATGCCATGTGCATCCATTTTACCTGCATTTAGTACACTTTTTGGGAATGATCAATTTTAATTCCAATAAGAGCTCTTATAAAATGTGTATCCATGTTTTGGACACCCTTGTATTAATTTTGAGGCTATAGACATTAGAAATGAATAGATTAGTCACAACAATTTCCAAAGAGAAAAATATTTTTAAGAGCCCCCCCAAAGCCACAAGTGGAATGTCCTGTAACAAGACTACATTTAATGTTTTCCAAAGCATGTGAGCAGATTTCTTTCATCAATTAACTCTGAAATGTAACACAGTATTGCAAAAGCCAACAAATATTACCTTATTTTTAGTCATCCATTTCACAAATTTATAGTCATAATGTTCATTGTCTGTCATATCAGAGAGGTCTGCTTCTAAAACAGTAATGAAAATTAGGTGACCTATAAATTGTACCTGAGGCAAATGTATTTCATTTATGTCTATCAAGATTCAAAATTTTCTTCTAGCTTAAATTAGACTGGTTGGAAATTTTCTGAGAGGATATTCACAGAGTATTTTGGAGTCTCATACTGGATGGTGGGGTGGGAAGTGAGGACTTCACCAGAAGCTTTACTGATTTGCTAAGGCAGCACCCACCCTCTGTCTGATTGATCATGCTTCTGCGTGCTGTTCTTAGCACAGGAAGAGGGTAGGAAGGGAGAAGAGCATTGCCTTTCCATCTAGAAATAAGACTTGATGATCATTAATAAGGAAATAAAAAGTAAACTGTTTATAACGTATTCATCACTGATAATTACATCTCCGAATAGCCATTCATTAGATTGTAAACTCCATCAAGGTAAAATGTCTATTTTATAACCTCATAAATCCCTAACCCCTATGTCAGTGTCTAGCGCATAAGTAATAAAAAGCATAGTTTTTGAATGGGTAAGTTAATATTGTTCATTTTTTAAAAATAAAGAATGTCTGTTTGGATCTCCTAAATGTACTTATTTTTCATCTCTTGCTTCTATATATTATGTTGTTAAAATTGTGGATTTAGAGAAAAACTGAACCTATGTATTCCTAGTCTTATCTATGGGCAAGAAGGCCTGATGTGGTGGCTCACAGCTGTAATCTTAAGACTCTGGGAGGCTGAGGTAGGTGGAACTAGAGCTCAGGAACTAGAGACCAGCCTGAGCAAGAGGGAGACCCTGTCTACTAAAAAGAGAAAAATTAGCTGAGAGTTGTGGTAAGCACTTGTAGGCAAGTTATTTAAAATATTTTAAATTTTCTTGTCTACAAAAATACAGCTTAATGTTTTCTTCAAAAGGGTATTTGAGTGCTTGGCACATAGTAGAGCCTTAATAAAGACATTCTCCTTGTTTACGTTATTTCAGCATATTCTAAAATGGCAAATATTAGGCAGTGTCTGTGGCTCAGTGGGGAGGGCGCTGGCCCCATATACCTATGGAGTGGCGGATTCAAACCCAGCCCAGGCCAAATGCAACAACAAAAAATAGCTGGGCATTGTGGCAGGTGCCTGTAGTCCCAGCTACTTGGGAGGCTGAGGCAAGAAAATCACCTAAGCCGAGGAGTTGGAGATTGCTGTGAGCTGTGTGACACCACGGCACTCTACTGAGGGTGATAAAGTGAGACTCTGTCTCTACAAAAAAATAAATAAATGAATAAAATGGCAAATATTCATGGATGGTCTTAAATTTTCTAGTTTTTCTAGCAAAACTATGTTTTTTAAGTGAACAGGAAGTTAAATTTTTATTAAAAAGTGTATTACACTTAGTTTATTTGTGCATATATTATTATATACACAATTTCATGCACCTATGTTTTAAATTACACACCAGAACAGAACGACAGCAAATTCTATGTTTAATAGAATACTTAGCACAACATTAACTCATAACCATTTAGCAACAGGTGAAAGATACAAAAGTGAAGATAAATGTGAAAAAACATTGACATTGTCCTTTTCTATAGATAAAATGCTGCTATGGCTTTGACACCAATCTCTCCTCCATAATTCTGCTATAATTTCACACATAAGCTTCTATACACTTGAAATAATAAAAACTTTTACAAACCTAGCAAAGACACGTCAGCAATGATGAAATATCCTCCATCAGGAACTATGGGTTTTAGGCCAACACTTTCAAGTAAATGAACAATCCGATCTCTTTTTACTTCTAACTCTTTTGGCAAAGAATTAAAGTAACACTCTGGGTCATCCATGCGCTTGATGTCAATCCAAAAAGCTTGAGCCAAGGCTTCCTGTATGTTAAGATTGAAAAATATGGAAAGGAAATGTGGCCAATGTTACGTATTGCTTAGTTTATTGGTATAATAAGTAAAGATTACTTGAGTACCGTTACGGGCAAAAAGTTCATTCAGGAAATTACAGTTTAGTTACTATACACCTATAAACTCTAGAGATTAATGGCAGAATCAGTTACAGCTAAATGATTGAGTTTAATGTGAAGGACTAAGAATGAGTCATGAAAATCCAAATTGAAAAAGAGGCATTGGGGCTGGCACAGTGATTCATGCCTGTCATTCCAGCACTCTGGGAGGCTGAGGTAGGTGGATCGTCTGAGCTCAGGAGTTCGAGACCAGCCTGAGCATAGCAAGACCCTATCTCTATTAAATAAATAGAAAAACTAGCTGGGTATTATGGAGGGCACGTGTAGTTCCAGCTACTCAGGAGGCGGAGGCAGAAGGATCCCTTGAACCTGAGAGTTTGAGGTTGCTGTAAGCTGTGATGCCACGACACTCTACCCAGGGTGACAGAGTGAGACTCTGTCTCAAAAAAAAAAAA